TATAATAAAATCATAAATATCTTTTTTCATATCCCATCAATATCATAAGGCCCTCAAGGTACGTATCTACAATGGTTTCACTCTATGATTAGAATTGCACTTTACATATATTGATCCACTGTAACCTTTTTCACTTGAAATTATCTATGCTTCTGTTGTTTGTTTTTTAGGCTAGGAAAAAATTAGTGGCTGTATTTCAAAGTGTTGTTGATCAGTGAAGAAAATAAGTGAAGGAAAATGTTCAATATAAAAAATCCAGAGACATGATCAATGGTCTTATGAATGCACAAGATGAAAATGGAAACAAATTAGATGATGAGCAGATCAGTTATGCTATGTTAATGTATTTGAATGCTGGTCATGAATCTTCAGGTCACACTACCTTATGGGCAACAATTTACCTACAACAACATCCAGAAATTTTCCAAAGGGCCAAGGTACTATGAATTTGCCTTTCTGCCAGTTCCACTGTTCTGTATAGTTTTGAAGAATTTGTGTTCAACTATAAAATTAAGCCGCAATTGGACTCTACTAACAAAGATGAAGGATGTTTATATATAGTGTATTTCACCCAAAAATTTTAACTTGTGCTAATATATAAATATATATACATATATTATTGATTATATTATTTGTGCAGGCTGAACAAGAAGAAATCATTAGAAGAAGGCCTCCAACACAGACAGGGTTGACCCTCAACGAAATTCGATAAATTAAATACCTATCTAAGGTATATATCAATCTAACACACACATACATATGATTTGCAACCACAAACCATTCTACAAACATTAGACTAACATCATCAAATACTATTTTTTGTTCTACATTGCATATGCAGGTGATTAATGAAACCATGCGTCTGGTTACATTCTCATTGACTGACTACAGAGAGATAAAATCATATGTGAATATCAATGGTTGGTTCCAATCCTTTTGACTTTAGTCATGTAGTTCTAATTTATCATAGGTCATGATATTTTTTTTTTTTTGGGGTGCTATTGACTAATTTGAAATTGTTTAGGCTACCTTGCCCCGAAAGGAAGGAGAGCTCTTGCTTGGTTCAAGACTATTCATTATGATCCTAATATATATCCAAATTCCATGGAATTCAATGCTTCCAGATGGGATGTGAGTTGTACGCGCGCACACATATTTTCATATCTAACATTACATATTTCTAGTAACACTTAGTTATAACAATATCTTTTAATTAACTATTTATTTTACGCTTGTTTATTATAGAATTTTATCCCAAAAGCTACGGAGTTTATGCCATTTGGAGTAGGAAGTAGACTGCGTCCAGGAAATGAGCTTGCAAAGCTAAAAATTATTGTGTTTCTTCACCACTTCCTTCTCAATTATCAGTATGCACATAGTCATTAATTTGTCAAATATTGGTTAAGATTATAACTAATTGTATAAATACTCAATTTTTGATATAATTAATTGATATCTTGGTTGGCATGGAATACTTGAACAACTAAATCCAAAGAGTCTTGTGATGTATCTTCCACATACAAGGCCTGTTGACAACTGCGTGGCGAGAGTTCGTAAAATCTCCAAAGCATAATCAACTTGAAGTGATTATCATTCTGGCATGGGATCTTTCATATAATAGTCAGTGTTTTAATTATGTACTATGTCCTTATGTTGTCTTCTTATAATAACACTCAGGAAACTATAGCCTGATGTTGTCGTTTAATTTGCCTTATATACTGCCCTCGATTGATCCACATGTATGGCCTGAACTCTTTTGGATGTATGCTTTGATTATCAGATAAGAAAAATTAAATGACCAGGCCAGGAACTTTATCTTGATCGAAAATGATATGATATATCCTCAATGTCTTTATATATTCTTGCGCATATCATTATCTCCTTTAAAAAAATTTTAAGAACATTGACAAAGAGAATAAGCATACACTAAAAAATAAATCTGATACATAATCGTTTTTTCGTAAATTTTATTCTGTAATAATTAATTTAATATGTCCTCAACAAAATTCAATAATTTTAGTTAATTTTTAAAGTATCCACAAAAGTCTCTTTCCATTTATTTCAATTGTTACATACGAATATCAAACATGACCAAGTATTTTCATCCACCTCCGAGTAACCCATTAGGAGGATAAATTATCTTTCTTAATTATCTAAGATTCTACACTATGTCTTTTTCCCTTGATTTCGCTATATTCTCTCTTGTTTTCTATAGTTTGTGGATTTTAAATGGAAAGCGTAAAATATGATTTTGGTCCTCCATACATGATATATTCTAAACTTCATTTCTCTTAAAATTACTTATCAATTTAGAAATACATCAGGTAGTGTCATTTAAAGATATATAATATAACTAAGTGAATTTCCATAGCCATTATCAAATGATTGATCTTCTAGGATTTTTATTAATTTTTAATACACCATGACCCAAAAGATTTGGTATGTAAAAGAATCTTTTAGGTTGTATTATCCTAGCTTGGATGGGAACTTATAAATTTCATTTATGGAATCTACATGCAAAAAAATATGTAGGAAAAGCAATTCAAATTGGTCAGAACAAAGGTTCTGCCAATTCAGAGCTAAAGAGTCAAGAAGGGGAAATAAAAGGAAGGCCGGATCATATTTCATGTATGGTTTATATTTGCATCGATGAGGGTTAGGAAAAAAAATTTATACAATATTTTGTAATTATAATACATTATTATTCCAGAGAAAAACTAGTTTTAGTGCTCATCATAGTGATAAGCACCATATTACTCATCATTGCGGTGCAATCTAAACTGTTGAACTAGTTTTAATGGTCTATATTTAAAATTTTCAACTAGTGATTTTTAAATTAAAAATTATATTTTTTTTAAAAACTTGCAAATTAAGATGTTACAATTATGTTGGATTATGCACCTATTAAAGAAAAATATTTTTAAAAAAAATATTAAATATTAAACCTAAGTTATGCATGTTAAATTTAAATGACTAAGATTTGATGAAAATCATCGTGCTCATCAGAAAAACTGGTTCCTTCAATAGGTATCTCTTCAAGAAAAGTTTCCAGAGATTGGTTGATGTTTAAATATATTAATTAATGCCAATGTTCGTATAATTGTGTGCTAAGATGAATATGTGAATTATTCTTGCTAAAATTGGTACCTTGCTGTGGAGTGGGAAAATTCGCTTGTTTAAAGTATTTAATTGGCAATAATTGTACTTACTCCGCTCCTTAATATATAAGATATGATTCATAGTTTAAATTGAACTAAAAATTAGACCTTATATTGAAGACCGGAAGTAATATTACATATATATCCCTACTATAGTGAGAGAATTATTGGGACTTAATTAACGGCCATCTCTTCGCATATTATAAGCTATACATAACAAATATAAGTTGAACAGTTCATCCAAGGTATATCGTCTTAGAAGATTTGATTTTAAGAATCAGTTTGAGGTTTATGGTGCACCATATGCATTCAAACGCAAGCTCGTAAACGGAACTTAACCTTAACACTTTTAAGTTACCCTTGAACGTTGAGGAGTATACAAAGTCATTGGACCCTTTTTTTCCTTTTTCCTTTTTAATATGAAGACTGTGTATTAATAAAGGGCTAATTTCCATCCAGCACCATATAAAAAATATCATGCAAAAAAGTTATACATCAAAAATTAGGTTAACGTCTAATTTTTGTCCCAAAAATTTTTTCTGATAAGTTATGGGTATCCAGATTTTTTTTTTTTTTAAAACCAATGTCATCCTAGAAGTTACTAAAACGTAACAATATTGCCCGGACTGTAAGTCAAAGCTAAGTTTGACCATTAAAAGACATGTGAAACTCACACATGGCACTCAACATGCCACCTCATTGCCACATCATCGCCACTCAGTTCTTCTACCTTTCCACCTAATCATCACACTTCATCATCTTCCCTTCCCTTTCCTCTCAGTGCATTCGAATTTCAGACCCACGTCGACAGCAAGACCTCCTCAAAAAACAGTTCAAATTTTATAACAGCTGTAAGGATAGCTATTGCGATCCAAACGGGTTTGCGTATGCAGCGTGGGGAACTATTACTGAAGCTTCCTATTATTTACAACAGCATTACACAAATTTCAGGTTTCTTCAAGAATTGATGCTTCGTTTGTATAGCATTTCCTCCATTTCGCATATTTACTTGTTTAATTTGCTCTTTTTATACGTTGTAATAGTGACCAATAGATTTTCTGTATAAAAACTATTACATCGTATTCTTAATATAAGAGCTAGTTCTAGTATTAGACTTGGTTCTAAATATAAGACCTTAATCCACTTTGTTCTCTAAATTTAGTTGAGAAAAATCAATACATATTTATTATAATTAACCAACTTAAACAATTTTCTTAATCTCTCTAAATTAATTATCTAGTTCTTATATTAAGTTTACATTAAGCACAAGTAGATAACATTAGCTGAACGAAGATGTTCTATTGTCGAAATATTCTTAAAACTGGATGGTTCTCTTAAAGATTATGTTGTCATGTCTAGAATCGATGCCATTTGATCCCATAAATGAGAAAATTGATTAAAGCATATATCATTCCAGATTATCTACCACGTTTATTCAGACCTTCTTATGTAAAATGGGAAGGAGGAAGGGGAGAGAAGAGAGAGGAGAGAGGAAGGCCAGGTAATAATAATTCTTCTTCAATTCCTAATCACAATCTTTAAAGACAGCAAGGATAATGAAGATAATTGCAAAATATGAAAAACAAATATCCTTACTCAAATCCCATATCCCATCACTTTCGCCTCAAACCATAAATGAAAAAGAAAACTTATATGAGCCTATAACTTTATTTACCCTTAACTCTCTAGGGCTTTTCATTATTGGACTTGGAAATAAACATTAGGTAAATAAGGCAACAAAAAACAAACACCCTATAATCTCTGCGTTTTGGTAAAAAGAATATAAGAAAATATGCCATCTTCTCCAAGAATGGACAATATTGATTGATGAACAGTCGCACTTCAATAACTGAGCTCCTCAAAGGGGCGAATTTCAAACATTGGGCAAATTCTGTGCAGCAAGCCAGATTTAAAAGTTCTAAAGAGCTTAGTGCAAATAAGCAGTTGGGAATACTCACAAGATTGATGCATTTTCTTAAATTTATGGACTTGATCTTTGAAAGTTTAGTGATGGAAGGATGAAGTTGCAATAATCCAGTGCATCCTTCAAGGTCTAACCTCTCAAGATTTGGAGTTCCTCTGAAATCTGGGGACTTGGTCAGATTTTTTGAGCCACGAAGATTCAGATTTCTCAGCTTAGGGAACACCTGAGAATAAAGATGAGAATGTGAGTTGAGAAAATTAGATATATTTAAATCATAATACTAACTAACCCCATGTTGGATGGAGAGAATGTATAGTATGGAACGAGAAAAAACTAGAGGAGAAAAACAGAATAGAAAATATTTTTTTTTCCTGTTTGGATAGCAAGATAAAGTACCCATATATTAAGCTAGCTTAATGCGATATTTTATCAAGCTACTATTTGTAAGACTAATAATATTTTGTAATAGTGAGTGTTGGTTATTAAAGGAATAACAAGCTAAGAGCGAAAATCTGGGAGTAACAAAGGCAAGGATATAAAAATGAATGTGATTATCTAAGGAAAGATAAGATCCTTAATAATTTAAGATAACTGGTACTAATATGGTACTTATAGAGTAGAAAATGATAGAAAATTATTTAAAATAGTTCAAACACGTGAAAACAAAATGTCAATGAAGTGTTAGTAATTAAGGAGCGTTGAGTAGATGTTCTTTAGCCTCTGAGGAGATTTAGACTGAGACTAATATGAAGGACACTGAATAATATATTTGAATAGGTTTTGGTTGGACACAATACACGTAGCACCTTTTTTTTTTTCCCTCTAAGTATAGGCATCCTCCTATTGGAAGTAATCATGTTTGAAGCACTGTCTGACACTAAATGTAGGCATCTTTTTCAGTAAGGATTCAAATCTTTGTTCATCACATTATAAGGGACTAGCTCTTTCCACTAGACTCAACCCTGTTAGTACCCACATGGCAACTTTAATTAGTAGGATAAAGTTTGTTTGTTGTTATAGTTGGCTAACAAGAGAAAAGAAAAAATAAGTAAAAGTGGAGGAGGAAAAAAGAAGTAGGCATAGGGCCCACATGTTTTTTCTCCAAAGTTTTCTCATCAAGAAAGGGAGATCTTGAAATTTCCACAAGGGCTTAAACAAGTTAATTAAGTATGTGGCCCACCTGTTGTTCACATGGATATTATTACAATTGTGAAATTGGTTACATTTTTTCCCTAATTTTTCTCTGGTTCATCCAAACGGGAAAAAATATATATTCTTAATATGCTATTCTCTTCCGTCTAATTTCTCTCTACTTGTTTTCATTTCTCATCTAACTAAAAACATAACAGACAACACAACCAAGCAAAATACACACACACACTATAATCATGGTTGCGAAGGATAACTCACTTTTTAAATGCATAATGCAATTTTAAAATCAGAACAAACAAAAGAATATTGAGTTTATTACCTTGTTGCCCTCCCATATTTGTGTGATGTTGCTCTCAGGCATAATCAATTCAACAAGTGCATGGGGCTCAAAACCTGACGGCAAACAAGCCAAAGGATATTGATGCCATGAAATATGCCGTAGCTTGTTAGGAAGGCAATTGAGCGTTCCAACAAAGTTCACATTATGAAATATTAGTAGTCTTAAGTTGCCCATTTGTGATAAGGCTTCTATTCTCAATGTACTGCTTTCTGAATCTTCCATATCCAAGACAATAGCTTCAACTTTTTCAGTGGCCTAGGGGGAAAAAAGGCATTCATGCAAAAATAATGAAAGATTAGAATATTTTAATTTAATTTGTAGATTGTTATGTATTTTTTTTCCAAAAAAAACAAGTGAATAAAACTTACTGTGTTTTTTGTCATAACATGACAAATATCATCAAAAGACCATAACCTACTTCGTTCTCCTGGTTCTTGAGGAGATTCTTGTCGAACAATTTCTCGTCCCATTTTTTGAAACATGCCATGCATTCGGATTCTTTGATCCAGAATGTCTATGAGAAATCTTTCAACCAAGAGTGTGATTTCCTCAGCAGAAAAGCCGCAGTCTTGCAAAATTTCCTTTACATAATTAATTTCCTTCCCAGTAAAAAAGCATGCAATATCTAAAAATATCTGCTTCTTCATGTGATCTAGTTCATCAAAACAAGTTTTGAGTATCTCCATCATCCAATGATCAGGATCTTTTCTTGATTTAGTCAAGTCACTCATCCATGTTGAGGCACGTAGATGAAACAAGGTCGAACCAAAACTTGAAATTGCTAAAGGAAGGCCATTGCAATATTGGAGCACACTATTTGAGTACTCTTGATGTTGTTTTACAAGAAAATTACATTTGAAAGCTTTCTTGCAAAATAGTTGAAGAGATTCATCCTTTGACAATAGCTCAACCTTATAAACATCATTTGCTTCAAGAACTTTAAGGAGCCGTTCATCTCTAGTTGTTATGATTATTCTACTCCCAGCACCAAGCCAATTAGATTTTACAGCCAAATTCAATGTTTCTAGATTTTGTGTAGGGTTAACCCCATCAAGAACTATAAGAGTCTTTTGGTGTCTTAGCTTTGGGTTCGCCAAGAAAATTCCCTCTTGAATATCCCTTATCTCTAAATCCTCCATCTTCAATGTTTGACGGAAAAATTGTTGTAGAGGGGATACACCATTAGAGTTTGAAACATGGCATGCGTCAGGAAGGAAACAAGAAGCATCAAAAGGAAGAAAATAAGAAGCATCAAAACGGTGAGAGATCTTATTGTACAAAACCGCAGCTGTAGCCGTCTTCCCTATTCCACACATCCCGCAAATTCCTACAACTCGAACTTCATCATTTGAATCCAAATCAAGAAGCTTTTTTACTTCTTGCACACGAGACTTCATCCCAATCAGTTGATGATCGGCAAAAACAACCTCAGGTAATTTTGTGTTGAGCAGTTTGTGGATGTCAAAAATAACTTGTTTGTGCTTTTTGATCTGTCTGAAGAGAGGAAAAAGAAAACTAATCACGATTTGTGTAGTTGTCCCAATTTGTCAATATGCAAGCAAATAGAAGAGAAAATTAATCCGCAAGACAAATCTTTATAATCTAAGTTTTTAAATCAAGTCCCTGGATATATAATATATTATTTTTAAATTGAGCTCTTGTTGTTTGATCCATTAATTTTAATTTATAGAATTTATGAAATTTCATTCATAGAAATACACACGGGAGTCAAAAATGTCACGTAAAACGAAGAAAATTTCATGAAATTCATGAAATTCTATAAATGAAATTGACCTCTTGTTTGTTAATTTTAATCTATAGAATTTATCAAAATTCATTTATAGAAAAGCATAGGTGTTAAAATTGTGAAAATGAAACGAAGAAAATTTCATAAATATCCATCCATGAAATTAATAATCAAAATTAACAGTTTTTACATTCGACGATGCATGCCTACTACAGTGAATCAATATAAGGGTTCCAATTTAAATAAAATAATATAAACTATAGAGATTTAATTCAAAATTGAGGTAAACTACAATGATTAAATTAATTTTGCTCAAATAAAACTAGGAAATCAAAGCACGTGCAAGAATAAAACTATACTCACTCATTTTGCACAACCCAACCAGGGAGATTAGCCGTTAGCGTCATAGCAAGTCTCCATTTTCGTACTAAATCAGGACAGAAACTTTTCTCGTATTCTGCAAAGGCCTTTCCGTAGATACCAATCTGTTGTTGTACCTCGTATGGGTCGACATCATAAAAAATTGGTATCACTGTGTGTTTGGGATCATTATTATTAATGAAATCGGCGATCTTTGACAATTCTTGCAAGCACCATATTGAAGAAGCAAAGTTTCTGGAGAAGATAACAAAGAAGATAAAGGATTCTTCGATGGATTTGAGAAGATGTGGTGGGATCAAAATAATGGAGTCTCTTGTTTCAAACTTCTTGTCGTCCCCCAAGGTTTGTAAGTCCCTAGATTCAATGCCACACCGAAGATCATCAGTGAACTTGCGAGAGTTGTCATCGCCTCTAAAACTTAAATAAACTTGTACGGGTTTGGACGATAAGCTGCTCTGGGAATCCATCGTAATGGAACGACTACTTGAAGAGCCGTTATGGTTTCATAGATTTACTTGGAGATTTTCTTGACATAAGTACACATATAATCGTGTAAACGGTTCATTAATTGGCTCTAAAGCGCGTAATGACCAAAATTGTCAAAGTCATGGGTTCAAGTAATCTCATGACAGAGACGCAAACTCGAATTGAGAACTCATATCGTAAATCCGTAAGAGTTTATCTATTAAAAATGTATTATTAAATAATTAAAATACAAAAAATAATTTGATTTAAATGTATTTTAAATCCAAATAACTGAAAAATTAAATTTATCAACTTTCATAATTTATTATAAGTACTTAATATAAACATTTCTATAAGTTTCATAGATAAAGTCAAGCCGCTAAACATAATCAAATTTTTAAAAAATAATTATAAATTTAACAGAGATAATCAAATATGAAATTATCATCATTTCTGTTGTCTTCAAATTATTCGCCATTACGATCTCCACTGTTTTTATGGAGATGACAAAAAAATATAGTGTGATTATTGTGAAAAAGATTTTTACTGGACGGATTTAAAATTTAAAATATCATCTAGTATTCGCTAAAATTGACGTCAAATTTTGTATCAACGTTTTTGAAGAAGTAAAGACCATAATATTACAATATGTTTTTATTATAAATTATGTATAGTTTTTTGTATTAAAAATGATTTATAATTTAACAATAAATGTTTATATATTATTGATAACAAAAAAATAAAGACAATTATAAAAACTTACATCCACTAATTTCATCCTAATTTATAAAATTATCACAATAAACTGAAATAAATAAGAGCAAAAGCCATATTGCCGCGTTTTTGCTTAAGAATGATTTGAAAGAAGTGCGGTTTCTGGAGTTCTGGTGCAGTGATAGTAACACATTCACTAATTTTAGCCTAGATACAAAGTCAGAAACTCAAAATAAAACTCACGATTTTATCAACAAGTTACATTTTTAAGCGAGTTGAGTACGTTTTCCAGATTTCCAATAGATAAGATTTAACAAGAAACGATGCAATATATTTGTAAAATCAGACGATTCCATGTTTTGAATCGCAATTTTGACAACACTTAATGACATCTTAAACCAAGATGTTGGTTAAGTTTATTAAAGAATGAAATATTAGAAAATTCTCTCATTTCTCTTCTGCATTTAAAACTCTCTTTTTCTTGTAACAAGGGTAAAAGTGAAAAATTATCATTAATTATCCTATCAACCTCTTATATTTTGGACCAAAATTTTCTTCTACAAGACTTCTTATGCTCCTCTGGTTCTTAATATAAAACCTAATTATGGAGTTGAATTTGGTCCTAAATATAAGACTTATTTTTTATATTTATTAATTTTTTTCTAAATTACCCTTATGGATACTCTTTCAACCATAATCAAGTAGAAGAAGGAAAGAGGATATTAAGCAAGATGATCATAATGTTTTAGGAAAAACATGTCATATTTCTTATAATTAATTAACCTACCTAACTTCCTTAATTTAATCAAATTAGTTAAATAGATCTTATATTAAGGATCGAAAAAGTATTATAAACCGGAGGGGTAATTCTTATATTAAGGAGATTTTGTGTGTGTGTGTGTGTGTGTGGGCCCTTTAACTCATGTGCCTATAGTTTTTCATTTCAATTCTATCTGATGACTTTCTTATTTCTTTCACGTCTTCACATTTGGCTTCTCAAACGCAAGCAGTGCCCAATTGTTGACTGCTTGTGAGCTCCCCAAATTTGTTTATTACTCTTGAGAATTGAGGAACATATATATGTTAGGTGGTATATTTAAGGGAGAAAAAAAAAAGATATATTTTCCGCGACCTAACGTAAGTGATGGAGAATGTTGCCTTTTCCCCTCCTGTGTGGTTGAATTAATTGCGATGAGAAATTAGAATGAAGAAAATCCACCAATTTTGTTCTTTCAAAGCATAAGATTTTGACGCAGTTCAAGTAAGATTGATGGTTAACAGAACATCAATTGCTGAAAAGTTAAAGTTTCCATGAGAACAGGATTTATTATGACAATAAAGTCTTACCACATGCCAATTAAAGATCCAAGGTCGGTGAGGGAAAATTAATCTAGTGTTGACAAAGTTGCCAAGACAACAAGGTTTAAGATTTTTTCTACATGTTAATTGAGATAAAGGACCACAATAAGCTTTATAAGTGGGCCCAAAACACTTCTCATGATGTTTTCTCATCGTGAACATACTCTATAAGAATCACTTCCTTCAATCCTAAATGTAGAAAATCAATATATAGTTTAAAAAAATTAAAAAAAAAATTAGTTGAGTTAGTTATTTATATAAAAATATATGTTGGTTACTTGGTTTCACTAAGATACCTCTTTTAATGATTCGCAATGAAAATTATACTAGTCCCACCATGTAGAAATCATTCTTTAATAAATGTAAGTGATATGAGTAGTTTGAAAAAAATTATGAATTTAGAAGATTAAATGAATTGAAGTTTTATATTTAGAATTAAAACAAACAACTCAATTAGCTCCTATAATTAGTATTGGAAGGTGTATTTCACAATGCAGGACATGCATGAACTTTAGAAGAATTTAATCTTCACCTACCCCACCATGTTTGCATTTTTGACAACATACATTGATGAGATACGAAACAATGATTTTGAGATATTTAGGATATCTATCATTATTAGGAAATCTTAGATTTTAATTTTAATTTGATTGTCACCTTTTATTTATTATTGACTGTAATTTGCATGTTTTTTTCGCCAACAAAATTTGCATTTAATTTAATTGTAGATTACTGCAGAATGTTCTCTGATATGTTGAGGCGTATAATTAACAACTCAACACATTTGTTTTGTATGCCTCACGAATTGTAATAAACTGATTACTGAAGTTCTGTCACTGGGTAGTTTCTCCTCCCTTTATTTGTTTGATTCCCCTCCTTTTTGCTTTCACTCCCTACTTTCTAGTCTTTCTATCCCTCCACCCTGTTCTTTCTTCCATCCTTTTCCCTTTCTTGTCATGCGCGCAGAATTAAAATTTTGATAATATATCCAAATATAATCCTTTTTGGTTGAAAAAAATTCCTGTAACCTGAATGAACAAAATAAATATTACTAGTATTAGCATAGAAAATAACATGGTTATTTTCGATTCATGAGGATAGGAAAAAGTAGTGTTGGTAGTTTTAAAATAGTTGATATCAATCCATCTTCTTCCCAATTAAAAAAAGGGAGTCCTTCCATTATAATTTATTGTTAATAAAGATAATAAATGCATATTTTTCGCTTCTTTTTCTTTACCAAATAAAGATATTGAATGGAATGAGCTATTTTTTCATTGAAATTCTTACAATTAAAGTTCAAATATCGTTCAAAAACAAGTAAATATATCTGAAACATAAAATGCTGTTACTCCCATTGTAGAACAAGCTATTATAACGAAAATTGGTGAATGCAACCAATTATTATTAAAAATTTCATCTTTAGACCAAAAACAAGCAAATGGTAGAACGCTACAAAGAAAAAGTGTACTCACTAAAAAGCAGCTTTTGTAATTGGCACACATCGATCATTAAAAACAAAAACAAAAAACAGAAGGATTTTGTATGCTTTCTTATTTATAAGGCCGTTATGAATGAGGAATGTTTTCTTTGCCGTCTAGGGTTGCAGAAGTAGTTGATGCAGTTTTATGTAGTTGCAGTAGAGGATTTATGAGGGAAGACTATATCGAAGGATCAAATTCACAACTGAACTATCAATTAAGTCCGCAAATTTACTACTTACATTCCGTGTTTACATGTTGAATTATGAATATTATTTACCATTTACATAGTAAATTTATGTGGTTAAAAAGATAGTTAACTCTGCTTACTACTCAAATAATAAAACATGAGTATTTATCATTAATAATCCTTATTAAGAATAACAGATTTGTGAATCTGGTTGTTAGACCTGATTTTCCCGTTTTATAAGAAAGGGGAGGAAACAAGTCGGTGATTTGTAATCCAAATTACACGAACGCCTGGAGAACAATATATAAGGAAGGGAAAAAGGAGAAAACGAACAAGGAAGAAGAAATTAAATAGGAGTTATAAATTGGAAACTTGTTCGATCTCTTAGCATAATGTATAAGTTTTACCTTTACATCAAGTTTCGGTTTAATCCTTTAAATTTTAAAAGTGTATTTTTAATCCCTTAATACCCTCAACCTCACTAATGGAAAATGTTGACTCAACAATTTTAAAATGATGACTTATTATTTAAAGACTAAAACATTAATTTTTAATTTAAAATATGTAAGGGACTAAAAATATATCTTTTAAATTTTAGAGATTAAACTGAAACTTTGTGTGAATTTAAAAGGCTAAACAAATATTTTAACCCTTAAATTAACCAAAAGCCGCTCCAAATTCTTCTTTAAGTTGAATTGAAACAGGCTGCTTCTTTAAACATTTTGAGATATCGTGATTTGTTTTCTAAAATATTTAGTAATAATGTCTTCAAAATTTTTAAAGTGAATATTCTATATATATATATATATATATGTATAAATCTAAAAGTATACTGGTTGAAAAAGTTGTATAACGATAAGATCAACCTATAAATACGAACCTTGACATAAGTTTAGAGATCAGAGTCAAATGTATAAGATTTTCGTCCCCACATGTTAGGTAAGATTATAAAAAGAACATCAACTGTTGAAAAAGTCGGCTTGGCAAAGACAAGATTTAAGATGACAACTTTCCACACGTTATTAAGATAGAAGACCAATAAGTTTTATACATATAGGTGTGTCAAAATCACCTCCAATGATTTTCATTTTATTAGCACTTTTTTTATAAATTAAAAGAAAATTTTATCCAAACGTAAGTAAACTGATACATGAAAAGCATTGGGCCTCTTTTTGGTCAAAAAAAGCATTGGGCCTTTACAAGATTATGAAGCCAGTACAAAGCAAATGAGCCCAATGCAAAAGGACCAGAATAAACACCC